CCCGTCTCTACTAAAAATACAAAAAAATTAGCTGGGTGTGGTGGCACATGCCTGTAATCCCAGCTACTTGAGAGGCCGAGGCAGGAGAATTGCTTGAACCCAGGAGGCGGAGGTTGCAATGAGCCAAGATCGTGCCACTGCACTCCAGCTTGGGTGACAGAGCAAGACTCCCACTCACAAAAGAAATAATAGAAGTTAAATGTTTACAAAGCAGGAACTAGAGCTGTGGTATCTGCCTGGATCCTTGAGGGCATTTAACTGGTTCCAAGTTCATGTGCAGGTCACTTGGAGAACCAATAACCCAACCAAAGGACTAAGAGGTTTTGGGAGCTTTAAATAAGGTTGTGGAGAAGTCAGTAATCACCCCCTACCCCTCCCCTGCTCCTCCAGGGCGAACTTCTGTGATTACTTCTCTCTCCTGAGCAAACATAGCCAGGTGCCTGCTCCCAGGGGCCTTCCTGGATTTCATGAGGCCCATCCTCTCCTGATTCCTATTTGTTCCTCAGGCAGGCTACAACTCTGCTGATCAGGCTGGGCCTTGGTAACCAGTCATCAAGCTCTGGTCATGTTCCTGAGAAGCCTCCTGTCCATCTTGATCAGATGTGGGTGGTCACCAGTCCCAGCCACCCACTGGGACACTGGTCATCTTTGAAGGAATGCTTCCCCCTCAGCCAGCTCATTGTGTTTCTGGTGTGGTGAGTCACTCTGGTTTCAACCCTGAACATAATCTTATTTCCAGGTCGTCGGGGCACTACCCAGTCACTCCCTGATTTGTAGTAATAGTGAATAAAAGCTACCAAGGATTGGTGCTTATGTACTGAACACCATGCTAGGTGTGGTGTTTAAGCCTCACAACAAACTGTGAAGCAAGTATTTTTATCCCTATTTTACAGAAAAGTTAGAGAGGTTGACTTGCCCAGGAATATGCAGCAGGTAAGCCCGGGCCCTTAAACTAAGACACTGTCTCTGCAATCTACAGGTCTTCTTACCTGCATTTTCTTTTTTCTTTTTTTTTTTGAGACGGAGTCTTGCTCTGTCGCCCAGGCTGGAGTGCAGTGGCGCAATCTTGGCTCACTGCAACCTCCGCCTCCTGGGTTCACGCCATTCTCCTGCCTCAGCCTCCCAAGTAGCTGGGACTATAGGCGCTCGCCACTATGCCTGGCTAATTTTTTGTATTCTTTAGTAGAGACGGGATTTCACTGAGTTAGCCAGAATGGTCTTGATCTCCTGACCTTGTAATCCGCCCGACTCGGCCTCCTAAAGTGCTGGGATTACAGGTGTGAGCCACCGCGCCCAGCCCTTACCTGCATTTTCTGTGTCCTGAAATTAAGTCTAACTTATTCACTGAAGTTATGTTATTCATTGACATTTATGAAGTTAGCAAGTGGGAGGGGCTAAAATCTGAACATTTCCTCGACACCCTCCCCTTTTTCCCACTTGTGCTCTATCCTTACTCTCCCCCCACCCACTTGTATTCTAAGCTGCAGTGAACACTTCAACTCTTGACAGTTCTAAGAACCTGTAATAATGTGCTGTCTTGCCCTGGGGCCTTTGGACAGACTGTTCTCTCCCATGCATTTGGCTAGCACAGCCTAATCTAGACACAACCTCCTCCAGGAAGCCATACCTGACCACCATAGTCTAAGCACCCTCTTAGGAGCTTCCTTGGTTCACTATTGCCTGTATTGCATGGTATTGCGGTTGCCTGTCTTCTTTTCTTGTTCTTTCGCCGGCCAAGCCAAAGGCCAAAGCAAGGACTGCGTCTTGCTGTTAGCAGCCAGCACCTTAGCTGGCACAGGGTAGGTACTCAGTAAGCATTTGTTAAATGGATGCTTGGCTCTAAGAGCTGCATTCTGCTTTTTTGGAGGATACAGCTTGAGTGTACTAAGTGGGAGGATGCAGGTGATGACGGAAATGTGGCTTCCTGCAGGACCTGGGCAAAGGCTCTGGGGTCATTGGGGGCTCAGGGTGCTGCTGTTAAAAAACCATGGTGTCCTTCTTGTTGAACCAAACTCTCAGGCTACTGTTTTCTCACTCCTAGTCAGAGACAAATGTGTTCTGAGTGACTGGAGTCATAGCTCAGAGCACCAGGAGCTGGTTTAGGGTGGGGTGAGGGGCCGTGGCCTTGGGGCTCTCATTTCTAAAAGCCCAGGGCTCAGGGCTGGGGGGAGGAGTGGCAGGTCCTGTCCCCGGGAGGCTGCAGTCACTGGGGGAGAGACAATGGGGCTCAGCATCTGCTCCTCCCTGGGAGAAGGGACCCTTCAGTGAAAAGCCAGGGAGAGCAGGGAAGTGTGGGAGGAATTGATGAGGAGAAGGGGTGGAGCCAAGGAGATGCAGCCGGGAGGAAGGAAGGGAAGGGAAGGAAGGGAAGAGGGAGGGGAGAGGATCCAGGCTTTCCTTCCTCCCGGTGACCTGGTCCTGAGCCGCAGCTTCCCCTGCATTGTTCCCTGCGTTTGCTCTCGGGGCCCACCAAGACCTCACGTTTCTTCCCCTACTGTAGCCCCAGTCCTAGGGCCCGGCATCCAGCAGGTGCTCAGTACTTACTTGGGAAAATGAGAAATGTGACCAACTTTGCTCTGGGAACTTTCCCCCGTCTTCTCCCCAGTCCTCCGGAGAACCCGAGGACAGAGCAGGTCTTGGGAGCACGCCCGGGCACCCCATGAATAATTGACCCTTCCTGGCGGCACTGCCCGGCTCTGTCCGAGGGCTCCGGACCCGCCCTGCATCGGACTCGAGAAATGGCTCGGGGTGGCGGGTATTCCGAAGGTTGGAGGCCTGGTGTCCGGCCTGCGCCGGAGCTGGAGGGAGGCGAGGCTGTACCAAACCCCGCGGCTCCTCAGGGAGGAGAGAGGGACCTGACGGCCGCGCTACCGGCGGCCACGCCTCGGCGCCCCCCAACACTGCGCCCCGGGACCTAGGCCCAGGCCCTGGGCTCGGGGACCCCGCCAGCCCGCCGATCCGAGCAGCTGCCCTGAGCCCCTTCCCCACCCAGGCCCTGGCGCTCGGAGCCCGCGCCGCTCCCTCGAGTCAGGCCGTCCAGGGCTCTGCTAACAGCTGTTTAAAGGCTTTTGCTGTTCAGTGCTCTGCGGGGATGTTTGTTCCAAGCCCATCTGCCTACTTTAAAAATACATAAGTGAAGCACACACACCCAGCTTGCCACCTCTGGCTGGGGAGGGGGCGGGCTCGGCGGCCCTCGCTCGCACTTCGGAAGGAACCGGCACCCATGAGCCGCACCCGTGCCCCACACCCCCACCGGCTCTCCTCTCCAGAGGACGCCCCTGGCTTCCCTGGGGAGGGGGGCGGGGCGCAGGGCCCCCGGGCCCCCTTTGTACCGGACAGGGCCGGGCCCCCCATTTCCAAGCGAGGTTCTGCCTCTCCCCTCTTCCCCGCTTCAGTTAATCTTTGTTCCCCTTTTCTGCTGAGAGGAGAAAAAAAAAGAGAGAGAAAGAAAGAAAAGAAGGAAAAAAGGCGTGACTTGATTTTCAAACGAAACTCCCACAGCAAACAAAACCCTTTTAGAGAAATAAGAAAGGAGGAAGAAGGAAGAAAAGAGGGAAGAAAAAAACAGGAGAAAGAAAACCCTTCAGGCTCTCAATTCGAGTGGGAGAGTTGAACCGAAAGAAAGAGAAAGAAAGGAAGAAAAATCCTCTGCGGTAGAAAGAGAAAAGAAAACTTGGGCTGACAAGAGGGGGGTGTTGGGGGTGGAAGGAAGTGAGAAAACAAAAGAGAGATAAAAGGGCTGCTTTTCTGTTTCTCTCTTCCTCTGCGAGCTGGCTTAGGAGGAGCTGTTTTGCATCCCTTCACGTCAGCCCTGCCTCATTCCCTTCTTCCAGGGAGGGAGAGAGCGCGAGGGAGAGAGCGAGCGAGAGGAGGGGGGAGAGAGAGAGAAAGAGAGGAGCCGGAGGGAGGGCGGCAGGAGCAGGCGGCGGGCGCGCGTGGAGGCGGGCGGCGGGCGCACAGCAGCAGCCCGGGCGGTGGGCAGTCAGGAGCCCCCGGCCCGGCCCGGCCCGGCCCGCC